TAAGAGGAGGGAGAAGAACCATATGGTCCTCTCAATTAATGCACAAAAAGCATGACAAAATACAGCATCCTTTCTTGATTAAAACTCTTCAGAGTATAGAGATAGAGGGAACATGCCTCAATTTCATAAAATCCATCTATGAAAAACCCACAGTGAATATCATCCTCAATGGGGAAAGCTGAGAGCCTTTCCCTTAAGATCAGGAACATGACAAGGATGCCCACACTTGCCACTATTGTTCAACATAGTACTAGAAGTCCTAGCAATAGCAATCAGACAACAAAAAGAAATAAATGTATTCAAATTGGCAAAGAAGAAGTCAAACTCTCTCTTCACAGATGATACTTTTTGTGGAAAATCCGGAAGACTCCACCCCCAAATTACTAGAACTCATACAGCAATTCAGTAACGTGGCAGGATACAAAAATCAATGCACAGAAATCATTGAATAAGAAATCAGTTGCTTTCTTATACACTAACAATGCAATTGTAGAAAGAGAAATTAGAGAACTGATTCCATTTACAATAGCACCAAAACTTGTAAGGTACCTCGGAATAAACCTAACCAAAGAGGTAAAGGATCTACATTCTAGGAACTACAGAACACTCATGAAAGAAATTGAAGGAGACACAAAGAGGTGGAAAAACATTCCATGCTCATGGACGGGAAGAATAAACATTGTTAAAATGTCTATGCTGCCCAGAGCAATCTATACCTTCAATGCCATCCTGATCAAAATTCCAATGACATTTTTCCAAAGTGCTGGAACAAACAATCCTAAAATTTGTATGGAATCAGAAAACCCCAAACTGTCAAGGAAATGTTGAAAAAGAAAAACGAAGCTGGGGCAACAGGTCGCCTGATTTCAAGCTATATTGCAACGCCGTGATCACCAAGACAGCATGGTACTGACACAAAAACAGACATATAGACCAATGGAACAGAACAGAGAGCCCAGATATGGACCCTCAACTCTATGGTCAAATAATCTTCGACAAAGCAGGAAAAAATATGCAATGGAAAAAAGACAGTCTCTGGGAAAACTGGGCAGCTATATACAGAAGAATGAAACTCGACCATTCTCAAACACTGTAAACAAAGATCAACTCAAAATGGATGAAAGATCTCAGTGTGAGACAGGAATCCATCAAAATCCTAAGAACATAGGCAGTAACCTCTTCGACATCGGCCACAGCAACTTCTTTCAAGATACATCTCCAAAGGCAAGGGAAACAAAAGCAAAAATGAACTTTTGGGACTTCATCAAGATAAAAAGCTTCTGCACAGCAAAGGAAACAGTCAACAAAACAAAGAGGCAACCCACAGAATGGGAGAAGGTATCTGCAAATGACACTATAGACAAAGGGCTGATATCCAAGATCTATAAAGAAGTTCTCAAACTCAACACCCAAAAAACAAATAATCAAGTCAAAAAACGGGCAGAAGACACGAACAGACCCTTCTCCAAAGACGACATACAAATGGCTAACAGACACATGAAAAAATGTTCATCATCATCAGCCATCAGGGAAATTCAAATCAAAACCACACTGAGATACCACCTTACACCAGTTAGAATGGCAAAAACTGACAAGACAAGAAACAACAAATGTTGAAGAGGTTGTGGAGAAATGGAAACCCACTTACACTGTTGGTGGGAATGCAAGTTGGGACAGCCACTTTGGAAAACAGTGTGGAGGTTCCTAAAAAAATTAAAAATAGAGCTATCCTATGACCCAGCAATTGCACTACTGGGTATTTACCCCAAAGACACAGATGTAGTGAAAAGAAGGGTCACATGCACCCCAGTGTTCACAGCAGCAATGTCCGCAAGAGCCAAACTGTGGAAAGAGCCAAGATGCCCTTCAACGGATGAATGGATAAAGAAGATGTGGTCCATATATACAATGGAATATCACTCAGCCATCAGAAAGGATGAATACCCAACTTTTATATTAACATGGATGGGACTGGAGGGAATTATGCTAAGTGAATTAAGTCAAGCAGAGAAAGACAATTATCATAGGGTCTCACTTATTTGTGGAACATAAGGAATAGTATGGAGGACATTAGGAGAAGGAAGGGAAAAATGAAGGGGGGGAATCAGAAGGGGAGAAGAACCATGAGAGACTATGGACTCTGAGAAACAAACTGAGGGTTTTAGAGGGGAGGGGTGACGGTGGATGGGTTAGCCTGGTGATGGGTATTAAGGAGGGCACGTACTGCATGGAGCACTGTGTGTTACATGCAAACAATGAATCATGGAACACTACATCAAAAACTAATGATGTACTGTATGGTGACTAACGTAACATAATAAATTAAATTAAAAAATATATAATGCTAAATAGGGAAAAAGATAAAAACTAGGGAAAATACTTAAAAATGTTACTATTTTGGGGGCACCTGGGTGGTTTAGGTGTTAAGCACCTGCCTTCGGCTCAGGTCATGATCCAGGTTCTGGGATGGAGCCCCACATCGGGCTCCCTGCTCAGCAGGAAGCCTGCTTCTCCCTCTCCCTCTTCCTCTGCTGGTGTTCCCTCTCTTGCTGTATCTCTCTCTGTCAAATAAATAAAATCTTTAAAAAAAAAAGTTACTATTTTTTTATTATTATTAATTAATTAATTAATTTTTTTAAAAGATTTTATTTATTTATTTGAGAGAGAGAGAATGAGATAGAGAGCACGAGAGGGGAGAGGGTCAGAGGGAGAAGCAGACTCCCTGCCGAGCAGGGAGCCCGATGCGGGACTCGATCCCGGGACTCCAGAATCACGACCTGAGCCGAAGGCAGTCGCTTAACCAACTGAGCCACCCAGGCGCCCTTTATTATTATTTATTAAAAAAGTTACTATCTCTTAGTAACCGAGTTATTCTTATGCTTTTCTTCAATTCCAAAAATTTTTTACAATAAAAATATATTGGTTATTTTTAGGTGGGATCCTCTTAAAAATTAGGTTTTATCTACTTAGGAAGTCAGACATAATCCATCACATGTAAAACTGGCTGACTCGGTTAAAATTTAACAAGAATGGTTTTACGGTGTATTTATCACATGGGAAACAAAATACCTGAATTTTAAGAAATCTTAGCTTTAAGTATAGGAGATGTTGGTATAGTAAGGCCATCTTCCCACTGTAAGTCACTTAAAAAATCACTTAGGGGCTGAAGTAATGCAGCCTATTATTTCTGCAATTTCAGTACACATAGTCAGCATGGCTTATCATGGTGCCTGGCAGTATGCTGCATTAAAATGCATTTTTTCTAATATTACATTAAGTAACAAATACAACCTAACCTATTATAATAATGGTAACATTTTGACAGCAGTTTTAATCTATACTATGGTATGTTATCCCTGGAGAATTAATTCTTATTAGAACAGCATATAGATCTTCCCTCACTTATGATGGGGTTATGTTCCAATAAACCCACTGTAAATTGAAAATATCGTAAGTTGAAAATGCATTTAGTACATCTAACCTACTTAACATCATAGCTTAGCCTAGCCTACCTTAAATAAACTGAGAACACGTATATTAGGCCAAGCTGGGCAAAATCATCTAACACAAAGCCTATTTTATATAAAATATTGAATATCTCATGTAATTTATTGACTACTATATCTACAGTGACAAACAGAATGGTTTGAAGTGTACTAGCTGTTTACTCACATGGTCACACGGCTGCCTGGGAGTGTATGAGAGAGAATTGTGCAGCAGTGTATGCTAGGCAGGGTGAAAAAGATAAAAATTCAAAATTTGAAGTACAGTTTTCTACTGAATGCATATTGCTTTTGCACCATCTTAAAATAAAAAAATCCCAAGTCAAACCATTACAAGTTGGGGACTGTCAGTATAAAGCTGGCCAAAACCTGCATTATTCTATCTTATGAAAAAATATGATCTTGAAAAGTACAGTTTTAATAATAAATAATTTCACTATAAAAGTATCCACAGAGTAGTCATCTTACATTACCAATTCAAAGCATTAATGTTTTTGGAGAAAAACTGCTAATTCATGTACTTTTTTTTTCCACCTGAAGATTTATTTAAACATTTAAGAAACACTAATTTGTGGAGCTGGGAGTGACTTCTTCCTTTTATTGTGTAAATGCTCCCAAGACAGTAACTAATTTAAACATATAAGTTAATAATTTAAATCAGGTAACATCCCTATCATGATCTTGTTTAATTGATAAAACTGTTCTGTTTCTTCAATACTGGCTTTATTTTATTTATTTTTTTAAACATTCTATTTATTTATGAGAGAGAGAGAGAGATGGCAGGAACGGGAGGAGGGGCAGAGGGAGATGAGAAGCAGACTCCCTGCTAAGCAGGGAGCCCGACGCACGGAGGGGGCTTGATCCCAGGACTCTGGGATCATGACCTGAGCTGAAGGCAGACACCTAACCAGACACCCTTGAATACTGGCTTTAAAACTTCGGTGAAGTGTCGTAAACCACTTTTAAGACAGTAACAAAATAAAAGCTTTTTTTCTTGTCTTTAGACATATCCTATGAAGCCTTTATTGAATATGCAGATACTTGTCTGTCCAACAGAATAATGATGGTGAGTGTGAGAATGCCCATGTGTACATGGTGTGAGTAAGTGTGTGAATGTGTGGTCAAAAGAAATGTTGTATTTGGGTAAGAATTAAAAAGAGCATTAGAGCATTAGACGTTGGTTGCACTAAGTAATATACAGAATTGCTGAATTACTTTATCATACACCTGAAACAAATATAACAATGTATGTTAACTATACTGGAATTAAAATAAATAAATAGCATCTCTCCTACAAAAAAAAACCTCATTAACTTACTTTTTAAAATAACCACTAGTTTACAGTTTCAAATACTTAAAAATACCCTAGGAATAAAAGAAATGAGCCACACCTTTAATGAGCACCTTATCCTTGCAATTAGTTACTGTAATATATGGAAGTACTGAGACAGAAAATACAATTTGTAGTAACAGTGGGATTAAATTTCAGGTACTTACTGAGACTCAACTTGCTGTTTAATTTCTTGCCATTCCCCATATGGGTTTGACTTTTTATGAGCTTTGGATTTTTCTTCATTTGGACCTGATGAATTTTGCTCTTGGATATTTTTTTCTTTCTGTGTTTCTGGTTCAATTCCTTTATCACTATTTTTTTTTTTTTCCTGAAATGTCAAAGTCAAGAAATAACATACTTCAAGCAAAACTACAGGGACACAATTTAACATAATCTTATTGATTTATAAATAATAATACATTAACTCAATATTTTTAATTGCACATAACACAAAAAATATACATAAGAGAATTTTAATGCTTGATTAGGTTTTTGATTATGTCAAATGTTAAGATACCATGGGCCAAGGCTGGTTTTTAAAATAATCTAATATGATTCTATTAATATTCTACAATTTTTTAAAAAATTATTTATTTGACACAGAGACAGCACAAGCAGGGGGAGCAGCAGGCAGAGGGAGAGGAAGAAGCAGGCTTCCTGCTGAACAGGGAGCCTGATGTGGGGCTTGATCCTAGGACCCTGGGAGCATGACCTGAGCCAAAGGCAGATGCTTAACCGACTGAGTCACCCAGGCACCCCAATGTTCTACAATTAAAGACATACACTGGCCTTTTTTATCCTCTCTTCTCTTTTCTGCCTTCTCTCCTTACTTATATATCCAATAGTGATCTCCCCTTATAGTGTGCCTTTTCTGAATTTAATGCCATGTCATTAGACCCTAATACACTATCTATTTAAAGAACTCCCTCAATCTATCAGTCTTAACTGAACTCTGTCTTCACATTGAGGTGACTGTTGAAGCCTCAATGGAATATATAACTGGTAACTATGTGAAATGAGAAAAAGACACATCCTTGATGTAGAGCAGGTCCCATGGAGGCCCTTGGCTAGGGCTAGAGTTTTTATGGCACCCCTTCACCTGGGAAAACAAAGCTCTATGATCTAGTTAAGCAAATGAACCATACACTAGATTTCAGTCTATCTGCAAAATGCACAACCGTGGGTGGCAGTCCTAGGATACTGTTCTGTAATTCTTTGAATGGATATTAACTCATTGCCTCATACTGTTCCATCATAAAACTAGGAAGCAGTATCCACTTTCTCTTAGCATTCTTGACTATTTCCAGGCTGTGATTTTTTTTTTTAAATAAAAGATTTTTATTGTGATTGTAATGTATGTTTTGATTCTAATGTAATGTAATAAATGCCTCCTCCTCTGAGGTTCATACCACCTCTATACAGTTCTCTCCCATGCTTCCTTACACGATAGTGACTTTTGGCCACAACTCCATATTCACTGATGACTTTAACCATGTTCTTTCTATTCAAACTCATCATCCTGGACCTTAAAAATTCCCTAGCCTGTTCTGTGAGCTTCACAATCAAGGACTTTGGCCTTCAACTATATTTCAGCCACTTAATGTTATATATTTTTCCTCATATGTAGCACACAGTAGTATTCAAATATTAAATCCTTACATCAATGTACTTTTTAATTTGAACTATGTCATCACTCAAAAATGCCCTAACAGTAAATTTTAAAACTCCAAAAGCACCCCACCTTTAACCATAGTAAGTTTTTCTTCTGGCTTTCTGGCTTCCTTACGTCTAATATTACCTCCTGTCCAACCTTGTTACCATCTCTAATGCCTTAACTTCTCCTTGTGCTTGGAGTTTGTTGACCTCATCTAGATTTTACATCATTACAGAGCTTTACATCCACAGGGAACCATTTTACTTTTTATCTTATTTTATCAACATGATAACTGTACTCTTTAATCCCCATCACCTATTTCACGCATCCCCCATCCACCTTCCCTCTGGTAACCATCAGTTTGTTCTCTACAGTTAAAGGTCTGTTTCTTAGTTTAAATAGTAAAGGTCTGTTTCTTGGTTTATCTCTCCCTCTTTTTCCCCCTTAGGTCGTTTGTTTAGTTTCTCAAATTCCGCACAAGTGAGATCATATGGTATTTATCTTTCTCTGACTTATTTCACTTAGCATTATACTCTGAGCTCTATTCATGTCATTGCAAAGGGCAAGATTTCATTCCTTTTTTATGGCTGAATAATATCCCGCTGTATATACATACACCACATCTTTATTCATCTATCAGTGAGCATTTGGGCTGCTTCCATAGTTTGGCTATTGTAAATAATGCAGTAAACACAGGGGTGCATATATCCCTCTTAGTGTTTTTGTATTTTTGGGGTAAATACCCAGTAGTGCTGGATCCTAGGGCAGTTCTATTTTTAACTGTGTGAGGAACCTCCATGCTGTTTTCCACAGTGTCTACACCAGTTTGTGTTCCCACCAACAGTGTGTGAGAGGGTTCCTTTTTCTCCATTTCCTTGCCAACACCTGTTGTTTCTTGTTTTAGATTTTAGCCATTCTGACAGGTATGAGGTGATTATTTCCTTGTAGTTTTGATTTGCATTTTCCTGTTGATCAGTGATGCTGAGCACAGATTTTACATCCTTCATTAAAGAGCTCCACGTCCACACGTTATTACTTTATAACCTTTTTTTTTTGCTAGCACCCTTAAATATCTTTGTCCCTGTTTGTCTCTTGTGTGGGGCCTAAAAACCTCCAACACAGACCTATCCAATTATTGCTCTGTCAAATGTTACACGGGGAAAAAAAAAAATCACACAACCAGACTTCAATATATTACAAAGCTGAAGTAATCAAAACAGTATGGGGGGGCGCCTGGGTGGCTCAGTCGTTAAGCGTCTGCCTTCGGCTCAGGTCATGATCCCAGGGTCCTGGGATCGAGCCCTGCATCGGGCTCCCTGCTCCACAGGAAGCCTGCTTCTCTTCTACCACTCGCCCTGCTTGTGTTCCCTCTCTCTGTTAAATAAATAAATCTTTAAAACAAAAAACAAAAACCAAAAACAGTATGGTACTTTTTTATGGCTGAATAATATTCCACTGTATATACATACACCACATCTTTATCTATTCATCTATCAGTGAGCATTTGGGCTGCAAATGCTCACTGAAATAGGCATATAGATCCATGGAACAGAACAGAAACCCAGAAATGAACCCACAATTTTATGGTCAATTAATCTTTGACAAAACAGGAAAGAATACACAACAGGAAAAAGACCATCCTCAACCAATGGTATTGGGAAAACTGGACAGCTATATGCAAAAGAATGAAACTGGACCACTTTCTTATACCATACACACAAATAAATTCAAAATGGATTAAAGACCTAAATGTGACATCTGAAACCATAAATCCTAGAAGAAAGCACAGGTAATAAGATCTCTAACATTGGCTGTAGCAACATTTTTCTAGATATGTCTCCTGAGGGAAGGGAAATAAAAGCAAAAATAAACTACTGGGACTACATCAAAATAAAAAGCTTCTGCACAGCAAAGGAAACAATCAACAAAACTAAAAGGACACCTATTGAATGGGAGAAGAGATTTTGCAAATGACATAGCCAATAAAGGGTTAGTATCTAAAATATACAAAAAACTTACACAAACCAACACCCAAACAACAAAGAATCCAATTAAATGGGCAGAAGACATGAACAGACATTTCTGCAAAGACATACAGATGACCAACACATGAAAAGATAATCAGTTTCACTGATCATCAGGGAAATGCAAATCAAAAACTACAGGAAATAATGTTTATTGCAACATTATTTACAATAGCCAAACTATGGAAGTCAACCCGTAAGCAGACTATGGAAGCCAAACCTCTATGTTTATTGCAGCATTATTTACAATAGCCAACCTATGGAAGCAGCCCAAGTGCTCATCGAGATAGATGAATAAATATGTGGTATATGTATATACAACAGATTATTCGGCCGTAAAAAAAGGAATGAAAGCTTGCCATCTGCAATGACATGGATGAAACTAGAGTATAATGTTACGTGAAATAAGTGAGAGAAAGATAAATACCATATGATTTCCCTTGTGTGGAATTTAAGAAACAAAACAAACAAGCAAAGGGAAAAAAAAAAAGAGAGGGAGAGATAACCAAGAAACAGACTCTTTACTATAGAGAACAAACTGATAGTTACCAGAGGGGAGGTGGGTAGGGGAATGGGTGAAATAGGTGATGGGGATTAAGGAGTGCACTTGTTGCGATAAGCACTGGGTGATGTACGGAATTGTTTAGTCACTACACTATACACCTGAAACTAATATTACACTGTATGTTAAATACTAGAATTAAAAAAAGAAATCACACAACTATACAAACTGGTAAGACTTCAAGGTTTATGATATCCAGTGTCAGCAGAGACTTTTAACACTGCTTAGAAATGTGTCTCCAGGTATTTCTTCCCTTAGTCCTCAGTAGTTATTAAAAAGAAATACTCAGCTACAAACGACTGAGTAAATAATGGTGTATTCATACCACATAAAACTATCCATCCATTATTTTGGTGGATGAAGACTTATTGATGCCTTTGTGACAGATTAAATTATAAAGCAATTAAGACCTTATTATAGTATGACTGCACGTTTTAAAGATTTTATTTATTTATTCGAAGGAGAGAGAGAGAGCATGCACACAAGTGGGGGATTAAAGCAGAGGGAGAGAGAGGAGCAGGCTCTCCCCACTGAGCAGGGAGCCTGATGCAGGGCTCAATTCCAAGACCCTGGGATCATGACCTGAGTTGAAGGCAGACGCCCAACCGACTGAGCCACCCAGATGCCCCCAGTATGACTCCATATTTTAAAATAATGTATGCGAGTTGGAATAAAAAAAAAAGTTAAAGACCAAGAAAACACCAAGGTGTTATAGTGATTTCCCTGGGAAGTAGCAGGGTTATAGGCAGTCTGTCTTTATCTGTATTTTGTAATATTTTATTTGCTTAAAATTTAGCTGTCCAGCTTGGATGCTGGATATAAACACTGTAAGATGGGGGTGCCTGGCTGGCTCAGTCTGTGGAGCATGTGACTCTTGATCTCAGGGTTTTGAGTCTGAGCCCCCATGTTGGGTTTACTTAAATAAAAAAGAAGATATTACTTAAAAATAAAATCTCAAAAAAGAAAATAAAAGAACAACAACACAGAAATATAAACACTGTGAGATGGCTACGATAAGGGCTCTGCTGCAGCGCCTCTGCGAACTGGACACATCCCCTGGCATGCATTCCACCAAGAATTACAGGGTAGTAGAAAAAGTCCAGGCAACGACAAGATCCTAGATGTGGCCTGGAAGTACCCTCTCTCCAGCATCCTTGAATTTCCTTCACTAGTCAGGCCAGTAATGTCATCCATGGATCAATGCTATGTGTCTTTTTTGCTTTGCCACCTGGGCTCCTGAGTGTTCCTGGAACAATCACAAAGCAGGACTAACAATACTATAGAAATATCTAATTTTACTATTCTGCCATGGCTGGGGATTCAGCAGTACCTGTCAATCCTTTTACTTCGTTCATTTCCTCTCCCACCCTAGCTCAGTGACTGTTTCAATTCATTAATGTTGTCAAGCTACTCAAAGCTTCTCACTCTCAGCAAGCAATCTTGATTTCTTTAAAAATGAGTAAACTGAGGCTAAAAGGGCATGACTGTTTCAATTTCCTCCCTGATACCTACTTATCCATAATCCTACCTTCTTATAGAAAAGGAAAACCTTACCTTCTTACCAAAAAATGAGTTTATTCCTTGTTGAAGACCAACCTATCCACCTACCCTTGTTGGTATTCCCATTCTGCCTCCTTTGGAATCTCTCTTAATGAAAACATCACTACCACAAATCTCTCATGATTAAGAGTCAATGTGCAGCCATCATCCTGACAACCAATTTCTAGTTTTCATTTCATATCCAAACCACATATACACCATGAACCACTTTTCATTCCTCTATAATTGGGGTTCTTTTTCTTAAGATGCTTTTAAAATTTTTATTTATTTGACAGAGAGAGACAGCAAGAGAGGGAACACAAGCAGGGGGAGCGGAAGAGGGAGAAACAGGCTTCCCACTGAGCAGGGAGCCCGACACGGGGCTTGATCCCAGGACCCCTGGATCATGACCTGAGCCAAAGGCAGATGCTTAACTGACTGAGCCACCCAAGTGCCCCCTTACTTATTCATTTTTTAAAGTTTTTATTCGTATTCCAGTTAGTTAACATACAGTCTAATATTAGTTTCAGATGTACAATATAATCTGAGTTCTGCCACCCCAAACCCTAGTGAAACTACTAGAAGGGTTTTCAAGGACTTCTTTACTGTAAAATTCAATGGACTTTTTTTTGTTCTAGATCGATAATTAATCCTTGACGCTCTCTATTCCTTTTGCTTCTTGGATCTTAAATTCTTCTGCTTCTCTGCGTACCTTTCTAGTCACTCTTTTCATTACAGGCTCCTCTTTCCCTGTCTGTGACTTCGATGTTTAATGTTGCCCAGTCATTTTCCTAGGTTATCTCACCTATTCTGAGATTTGAATTACTACCAGTATGCTGATGATACTCAAAAATAGAATCTCTAGCCTAGATCTAGATACTCAGACAACTCTCTAGATATTACGGAGGGATCTCAAACTTAAGAGGTCTAAAAATGAACTCACTGTCTTGCCACCAGGTAGATACTAATCAGTGGTAGAATCATTTATCCATTTGCTAAAAATGTACGTCTTGGCTTTATTTCTATCTTCTACCAGAAAACTGAGTAAGTCTGTTGAGCTTTCTATAAACTGGTAAAGTTCTGTAAAGAATAAATCAAGAACCTACCTTAAACTTTATTTTTGGCTTTTGTGTTTCTGTAGAGGCCTTTCCTTTTTCTGCTTCCTCTTCCTCATCAGAATCACTATGAGAATCTGATGATTTAGACTCTTCTAGGGTACCAAGTGGCTTTTCATTGACTTTACTAGAAAGCAGATCGCCAGAGTGTGGAATGAAATCATCAGGTTTTTCCCATCTGGATTCTATTCAACACATTTTAATAGTCATGTTATTTAGTTACCAACTCTATTCAGAAGTAATTCCCAATATAACACTCCCTGTCACTTACAAACGTATTATTTTTTTAACCTTTTCATAATATATTAACAGCACTGCATCTCTTTTACACTATCATTTGATCAAGAAGATAATAAGTAAGAGTTCCCAAAGCTCTTCCTCTTTTATCTTTTGAGAGTTGGTTTCAATCTGGATTCCAGATGTATAAACTACAGCCCCAGTGGAAAGAAACCTAAGAATTGGGCAATGCCTTCTAAGGACTGTCACACTTTATCTGACACCAGTATCAGGAAACATGTGCTAATGAGCACACATAAGATTTCCTGGAATTTATTTATCACAAAGATTTCCTGGGATCCTCACAGAGTGACACCATACTGTGAAGACCTGAATGAATATAATTTGTCATTTTTATACTAGGAAAAAAATAATCTCTATTGAACTCTACTGCCATCCAGTGGTTTACTGGGCTTTTAGTAAAATGATAGCATTTCTTTCTTTCGTTTTTTTTTTAAAGATTTTTATTTATTTGACAGAGACACAGCAAGAGAGGGAAAACAAGCAGGGGGAGCAGAAGAGGGAGAAGCAGGCTTCCCGCTGAGCAGCGAGTCCTATGCAGGGATCGATCCCAGCACCCTGGGATCATGACCAGAGGCGAAGGCAGACGCTTAACGACTGAGCCACCCAGGTGCCCCATGATAGCATTTCTAATTATCTTGCAATTAGTCTCTATTTTTAGTGTAATAAAAGGGAAGGGGATGCTAAGATTTACTGTCCAACTGAGACAGTTTTAAGAGTGAAAGGAGCTGTATCAATAATTACACTTGTCTACACATAAGCTGAAACTGTTTGAGGGCAAATCAATTTGTACAGCCCCTTATTAAAAGAGGGTGCGCTTTCCAGGGCGCCTGGCTGGCTCAGTCAATGGAGCATGCGACTCTTGATCTCAGGGTTGTAAGTTTGAGCCCCACACTGGGTGTAGTGATTACTTAAAAATAAAATCTTTTTTTAAAGATTTTATTTATTTATTTGACAGAGAGGGAACACAAGCAGAGGGAGTAAGAGAGGGAGAAGCAGGCCGCCCACTGAGCAGGGAGCCTGATGTGGGGCTTGATCCCAGGACCCTGTGATCATGACCTGAGCTGAAGGCAGATGCTTAACAACTGAGCCACCCAGGCACCCCAAAAATAATATCTTAAAAAAAAAAAAGGTGCTTTCCAACAATAAAAAAACATACATTATTTCCTTATGCATATTTCATGTGAATAACAAAAAAAAAAAAAAAAAAAAAACTTTCAGGAAATAATTTAAGCACCTACTATGTATCAGGTATTGTTCTGGGAACTTTATAGATACCTGACCTTCATGACCCGAGAGTATACATGATCACCCCAATTTTACATAAGAGCAGCTACAGGTGTAGTGGCTTTTATATAGCTGGTAAGGGAAGAAGCTATGCATTAAGCTCAGATCCAACTTTCCACCTATATTATATCACTATATTATTTTATCTTTAGAAACTTTCAGTACCTCAATTTTTCTGAGCTAGAACCATTACTATCGTTGGGCAGACTAGGTATCTACTTAGAGCCTAAAAGGGCTTTTTCCTCCTAAAAGATTTAATGCTATGTGTTCGGATAGTAGAAATTTAATAAATAATTAAATAAAGCCTCTCAAAGTTATATTGACACCATACATACTTCGGTAAATTTAACTGTAGGAGAAACTACAATTACTTGTTGACCCATTCTATAAAATTAAATTAGAAAAAATGTCAACTTGAAAAACTTAGATAATAATTAGGTAAGAATAGTTATGCATGTTTTATAAATATTTACACATAACTGAAACATTATTCAATTAGTAAAAGTGAAAATTTGACAATCTCAGCCACTGCTAAAATAACTTCAGTTTTGCTTTTTAGAAAAGGAAAAGGCAAGTTGAATTAGGTGATTTCTAAGGTACATTTCAAGGTAATGATTATATTTCTACAATAATCATAATAAAAGCCAATAATGATAAAGTAAAAATGATTTTTAAAATTTGTGAATGGAGTATCAATTGAGAATGAGCAGCACAGTATATTACATACAAAAATCTTCCTGCTTTTCCATTGTATTGTTTTTAAATTACAAAATACCCACAAGCTGTGGATATATGTTGATCACTATACTAAAATTCCCAAGTTCCCTTCATTAGCAGGCTAATAAACAGTTCGAGGTACAATTTTATACAGTTAGGATAATCAAAGGTAGTACTTACCTCCTGTTTCTGTATTATAATAGTAGGTATAACCATCTTCACTTACTCCTTCTACCCAAACAGTCTTCCCTGCTGTCTAATGGGAGGAAAAAACAGCGTAAACTGAAGTTAATGAAGTAGTTACACTCTATTAAAATAACTAAGGCAGAATCAGCTACCTTCCCTTTCCTCTTAACACCTGGGAGTGAGAGGGGCAGTACTGATTATGGAAGCTTGGTTTGTGTTAATCATGAACTAACTTTCAGAGAGAGAATGTCACACCTCTGAAAGACAGGAACAATTCTCTGCCAATGAACAGGGACATCTGAATGGCAACCAACTATAAATCAACTGATAATATTTGCCCTGCATGGAGTTTTTAGGTAGGTATCACTTTTCCACCTCCACCCAACCTCCTCACAAAAGCATTATAGGAAGAAAGGAACAAAGTGTGTATAGGGGGGCTTATTTGGAAGTAAGTTTGCTTAATAGAACTCTTTTATAAAAACCCCAGAAACCAATCAGTTTAAAGCAAAGACACCATCATTGTGCTCCAGTTACCTTTTTTAAGTTTCCTTGAAATCCTTCCGGTCTCTCCCACTGGGATGCTTAAAGCAAAATATACTTCATTAATAAAATTTTTTCGCTTAAAAAGAAAAGCAACTCAAAAAATTTAATTTAGCAAAAATTTACAAGACTTTCAATGTGTACAAAGCGCTATAGGCCTATAGTTAAACACATAATTGAAAAATAAAAAACCAGTATACATCCCAGTGGTATTGTACAGAACATATGTGAGTGATATTTAACCAAGAAGGAAGAACAGAATGAAGGATTCGAAATTACTGGGACTTCCACAAGAATTATTAGACATAGGTAGGGGTTCTCTTAAAGACCTCACGGAATTCAGGCTTGAAGTTTTTTTGTTTGTTTTAAAGATTTATTTATTTATCTGAGAGCGAGCACAAGCGAGTGTGTGCGCCCCTGTGTGCATGGGAGGCGGGGTAGAGGGAGAGAACCCTAGGCAGACTTCCTGGAGATCATGGAGCCCGACGTGGGGCTTGGTCCCACAATGCATGAAATGACGATCTGAGCCAAAACGAAGAGTTGGATGCTCAACTGACTGAGGCACCCAGGTGCCCCCAGGCTTGAAGAAAAGTTTTTAAAAGCTTATTATACTATTTTTTTTTTTAGTCATCTCTACACCCAACACAGGGCTCAAACTCATGACCCCAAAATTAAGAGTCATGTGCTTTTCCGGCTGAGTCAGCCAGGTGCCCCAGGCTTGATAAGTTCTGAAGGAATGAGATGGCTGTTTGACATCCTGAGGAGGGGAGAGTGAGAGACAGAATGAATGACTTAAGAGAAGCAAGATGAAAGATGCAAGAATTTAAAAACAGCTGACCCTTGAACACCACGGGTTTGAACTGTGCAGGTCCACTTTTAAGCCGATTTTTAAAAATATATATATTGGAAATTTTTTGAGAGAATTGTGACAGTTTAAAAAAAAACAGATGAACCACGTAGTCTAGAAATACCGAAAAATTTAACAAAAAGGTATTACTGTAAAAATACAGTATGTAATACATGTAACACACAAAATGTGTGTGTCAACTGTTTATGTCATCTGTAAGGCCTCCAGTCAACAGTAGGCTATTACTTGCTAAGTTTTTGGGGAGTCAAAAGTTAAATACCAATGATCCAGTAATTCCACTATGGGCATATACTCAAAGAAAATGAGAACACTAACTTGAAAAGATAAATGCACCCCTATGTTTATTGCAGCATTACTTATATAACATAATAACGTCTATTGTTATATATAGACAGCATACAGAAGCGACCCAAGTGTTCACTGACAGATGAGTGGCTAAAAATGTGAGATACATATCTCTCTCCCTCTTTCTCACACACACACACACACAATTAGCCATAAAAAAATAAAATCTTGCTATTTCTTACAGCATGGATGAACCTAGAGGATATTATGCTAAGTGATATAGATCAAACAGAGAAAGACAAATACCATATGATTTCACTTGCATGTATAGTCTAAAAAACAAAACAAAACAAATAAAACCAGACTTTTAAATATTGAGAACTGCTGGTTGCCAGAAGGGAGGTGAATTGGGGGACAGGTGAAATAGGTGAAGGGGATGAAAAGGTTTAAACTTCTAGTTATAAAATAAGTAAGCCATGGAGATGAAGAAAAGGACAGGAGAGGGAATACAGTCAATAAAATTGCAATAGTGTTGTATGGTGACAACACTTGTGGTGAGCATGGGTTAATGTACAGAATTGTCAAATCACTATGTTGTATACCTGAAACTGATATAACACTGTGTATCAACTATACTTTAAAAAAAAGTTATAAGCACATTTTCGACCACATGGGGTAGGGAGGGGTTGGTGCCCCTAACACCTGTGTTGTTCAAGGGTTTTGCTGAGACCAAGAGTATAGACAGTAGGATGGTGAACAAAGGAAGCAAGCAATAGGAATTAGAAGGGAGAAACACAGAATTAATAGTTTAAAAAAAATCTTTTTAAGAAAAGATTTTATTTACTTATTTATTTTAGAAAGAGGGAGGAAGGGGTGCCTGGGTGGCTCAGTTGCTTAAGTGTCTGCCTTTGGCTCAGGTCATGGTCTCAGGGTCTTGGGATTGAGCCCTGAATTGGGCTCCCTGCTCAGCGGGGAGTCTGCTTCTCCCTCTGCCTGATGCTCCCCCCCTGGCTTGTGCTCTCTCTCAAATACATAAATAAAATCTTTAAAAAAAAAAAAGAAAGAGGGAGAAAAAGAGAGAGCATGAGGGGGTGGGGTGCAGAGGGAGCAGGAGAGAGAGAATCTCAAGCAGACTCCACACTGAGCCAGGAGCCTGACATGGGGCTCAATCCCACAACCCTGAGATCATGACCTGAGCTGAAATCAAGAGTTGGATGCTTAACCAACTGAGCCACCCAAGTGCCCCATTAATAAACAGTTTCTATGTAAATTTGAGAAAGACTTATGATCCTTAGCATACAATCATTTGTGGTTCACTGCTGACTAACACACACTTCTCTTAAGGCTCAGTGCAAACTGTGAGTGGTTATTATTATTTCTATGTAGTCCAAAACTGTGATTCTAAAAATCATAATAATTATAATACTTAGAGCCCAAGGTTTTTTTCATGATTAACTCTGATCTCATTTCCTACCTTTCTGATTATTCTTTTTTTTCCTGGCTTTTCTTTCCTTTCCTTCAATAAATGTACTATCCACCCTTTGTACTTCTCGTTCTCTTCTTTCTCCTTGTGATCTCATATACTCCTGAAAGTTAAGATATTATCTACATTTCTAGACATAATTTATCTCCCTAATTCCAGACTCTAATCAGCTACTGAAAACTACCACATGAATGTTCTAGAGGTACCTCAACCTCAACATACCAAAAACTGAATTTATTATTGTCCCACTTTAACTTACTCTATTTCTGTATTCCATACCTCAGTAAATGGCACGATCATCCTCCTAGCCCTCCATGACACAGCCCCAATCTATTTTTCCAGCCTCTTTCTTCTGCTAGGACATCTTCAGAGAACTGTATATTTTACCTCCACCAGATGAATGTTTCCCAAACTTTCAAACTTTTTAAAGCTTCATATTGTTTCACCTGTTTGGAATGTTTGCTTCACCCTCGTAATAACCTACTACAATCATTTTCAATCAAAATACCTATAAAGTGTCTATACCATGCCAGGCACTGTTTTGTGCTAGGGATATAAATGGTGAATTAGAAGAAATCATTCATGATGTTCTCCTCTTAATTTATAGATCACTTCAAAAGTAACTTCTGTGATAATCTCTCAGATCCACATAATCACAATTAATCCCTCACCATTCAGAGTTCCTATACAATTCTATATCTCTATTACATTACAGCACTTTAAAACTTCTCCTTGTATCATGTTTATTTCTGATCTTAAGTTTTATATTTCCGGAGAGTAAGATGCTACATAAATGTATTTACTTATCTCAGAATTTGTATGAAAAAAATCCCTAATACATTTAGTTTTAAAGGAAAACAAAAAGTTATTTTTGATATTCCCACTGGATAACACCATTGTGTATTTTATTAGAAAGTGATAACCAAAACATGAATAGGAGGGGGGGTTTCTCTACTACAAGACAGCTACACAAAAAAGAAAATGGTTCTGGCTCCCAGTCTGGTTTTGGATAGAAAATCTCTCCCACAGAATGTTTTAAGAACCTCTGCAATTTGTAAAGTGGATCTAAAATGCCTTATTTCCATGTAAAATGCTTTATTTCCATGTAGTTCATACTTAAAAGATTTTATTGAGAAAATATAAAGGTTTAACTTATTTGTAAGGAACCCATTCTTAAAAAAAAAAAAAATTTGAGAGCGAGCGAGCGAGAGCACAAGAGGGGAGGCAGGGGGTGAGGGAGACAGAGGGAGGAGGAGAAGCAGACTCACCGCTGAGCAGGAAGCAAGACGCCAGCCTCTACGGGACTTGATCCCAGGACCCTGAGATCATGACCTGAGCTGAAGACAGATGCTTAACTGACTGAGCCACCCAGGTGCCCCATAAGGAATCCATTCTTAAGGCTTTAACTAAGTATGATGTTGAGTCACTATAAGAAAGGTGCCTTTTTAAAGGGCACATGACTTTTTTACCATTGTGGCAAAGATGTAAAGTTACGGTCTTCCATTGCTTAAATGTTCCAATATTAACTAAAACAAATAAATGGTCAGTTATCATTCTTACTAGTTCTATGCCTAAACGACCTACCTCCTGTGATAAGATCATAATAGTAATGGTAACCCTCAGAGGTTATGCCTTCTACCCATCTGCCCTTTGAAGGGTTTTTCTTTTTCTTCTTTTCCTTCTGCTGATTTGATGCAGGGGTGGGTGGGACAGTGCTTGTTACCAGTGATATGCTTGGCTCTGAAATTTCTAGAGAAAAAGATACAAGAAAGATGAAGTACCAACACACTTTTTTTTCCTGGTGTAAAACACTGATAATGTTATTCCAATCAAAAGCTTGACAAGAAGATTCTTTTGGGAACTTGACAAATTATAATAAAGCTCATTTGGAAAACTAAATGTGCACAAATATCTAGAATTATAAAACAATAAAACAGAAGTGACGGGGGAATCTAGTTCTACCAGATGTTAAAACTTATTCTAAAACAGTTGGTACCAAAAAAAAAGTAAAACTGATCCAGGAGTAGGCAAACATATGAATGAAACAGAACAAAGAGTAAACAGACCCAAATGTAGATTCCTGGTGCTTCTTTTTTTTTTTTTATTATGTTATGTTAATCACCATACATTACATCATTAGTTTTTGATGTAGAGTTCCATGATTCATTGTTTGCGTGTAACACCCAGTGCTCAGATTCCTGGTGCTTATTAGAAAAAGAAATCATGTAACAAATCATGTTGGATTAACTGGTTAATTATTTGGAAAAAAGTAAAGCTATTCCCCACTCCATGGCCCCTCCCATGTTTGGACATCAATATAAACTTCAGATCAAAGATATGTGAAAAAAAAAAAAACACAAAATAAAATAACATTAAACTTAACTACATACAAATCCAAATATTCCGTATAGCAAAAACAAAAAAATAAAACAATATAATGCTATGTTAATAGGATTAAAAATTTTTAAAAACTAAAAAAAAAAAAGACAAATATTTACAACAAATATGGCTCATGGTTTAACGTTCATAACAAAGATTCCTTACAAATAAATCCAATATTCTAACAGAAGATGGACAAAAAGTACAAAGACAGCTTGTATTAGCTATCAAAATATAAAATATATTCACACTTTGATTCTGCAACCTCATCTCTAGAGATTAAACTTACAGAGATAAATGTAAAAAAACACGCCTGCATAAGGGTGTTCACTGAAGCATTCATTCTAACAGTGAAAACTAAGCAACTTAAATGTTAGTGTAGAAGAGATTAAATAAGTTATGGCACTTTTATGGTATTTTATACCCTTTATTGAACACTTATTACAAGTGGTCACTGTAATAAGCAGTTTATACCATTATGTACTTAATTTTTGTGAAAATCAGAGGTTGTATAGCTAGCAAGTGGCAATTCTGGTGGATTCCAAAGTCTGTGCTCCTAACCACTCTGTAGCCACTAAACATGATGTATGTCCTTAATTATTTAAAAGAAAGGAAATACTTGATATGTTATTGAGGGAAAAAATAAAACCACCTCCAACTAGACTATAATGTGGAGTATAACTTAAAAAAGAAAATTCTAAAGATGTCTGGGATAATCTTAAAAGCAGTTTTAAAAAGTCCTTTCTTTGTACTGCATTATGGTGCTTTAAGGGGAATGTATATCCTATTTAAGAAAACAAGACTATGAAAAATAATAGGAAAAATCCTCTGAATACATTCAAATACAAAATGCTAAGACTGATTTGCTCATAGGTTAGCATAATGAAACCTCTCAATCCATATAATTGATGAGATGAATTTTCAACGACGCCTCTTTAATTCTGCAGGAACACCTCTCTTTTTCTCCTTTAAGCTTATAGCTTTATCCTCATGGAAATACATCCCCACCCCTTCCTTTTAACTAACAATGTCCAGGAGAATATTTTTAAAGTCTGGTTACAACTGTCCTTATTTGATGAGTGCAATACCAATTAACTTATTATTCTGCTTAAAAACTTAACGGAAAGAAGTTTTTAGAGTAAAGAATATCATTCCATGTTGACTATCTCAACCATTAAGCAAGATCAACAACTGGGACTGCTATATGCCTGGTTTAAAGACAATGGATTTGTCATGGAAGAAATGCTGACAGAAAAGTTCCCGAGTTAAAGTCTAAGTTCTTCAACAAGATAGATACACTCTAATTAAATAAATGCCTTTTATCTGGAGCTGAGTTATCTTCAAACCCCCAAATTATTTACCTTCTTGCTGGTGACCATGGGGAAAAAAGGGAATGCTTATATACTGCTGGTGTATGTAAACTGACAAATACCCAGAATTATAAAACAGAAGTGATAAGGGGAATCTAGTTCTACCAGATGTTAAAAACTTATTCTAAAACAATTGGTACCAAAATAAACTGGTCCAACCACTATGGAGAACTTATGGAGGTTCCTCAAAAAATTAAAAATAGGTCTACCATATGACCCAGCAATTTCACTTCTGGGTATATATTCACTGGAAATATAAGCAGGATTTCAAAGAGATATATGCACTCCCATACCTACTACAGTATTACTCATGACAGCCAAGATACATAAATAACCTTAATGCCCATCAACCAGATGAATGGATAAAAAAAAAATAGTACATATATATAATGGGTTACTATTCAGCCATGAGACAGGAGGATATCTTGCCATTTGCAACAACATGGATGGAATTTGAGCATACTGTGATAAGTGAGGTAAGTTAAAGAGAAGACAAGCATACTGTTATAGTATCACTTGTATGTGGAATCTAAAAAAGAGTCAAACTCAGAAAACCAGAAAGTAAAACTTATTTCCAGGGGAGGTTGGGGGATTAAGGCTGATACCCTTTAAGTTTATAAACTTGCAATGAGTAGTACATAAGCCACAGAGATTGAATGCAGAGTATAATGAATATAGACAACAATACTGTAATAGGTAATCTGATAAATATTGCTTCAGTAGCAATCCCATTACGATATATAAATGCATCAAAGTAACACCTGCATAAACAATGTTTTATGTCAAATTTATCCAATTAAAAAAAAATTATCTACCTTCTAGTGGTAAAATCAGTAAATTTGTCCACAATAGGCTAATTCACTATAACTCAACCACATAAACAAACATAATTCATAGTTTCGACCATATGGATAAAGTAAACTGTGGTTATAATGCAAGGCCTATTTTTTAATGAATAGTTCTTTTTAGCCAAGTACCTAAAAACCTCAACTGTGCCTGAAATGAACACTGACCTAGGACAGAACTAGGACTAGCTAACCACCAAGGTAGTATGGTTATGAATGGAGGTGTTAAAAGATGAAGCTTTAAAAGTAAAACAAAAGTGCATGAGCAAAGTCCCACAGTCTAAATACAGCTATGATGCACAGGAAAAGGACTAAGAGTATACCCTGAGTGTATAACCCCTTTATGGAAACAATAAAAGCTCACTGAGCATGACCTCTGATGTTAGTTTTAAAACATGCTGGCTGCTTTTTTACCTGACTCTAAGCCAAGCCTTTTCAAATCCTCTTGGTATGCTTTCAGGGCAGCTGCCTCCATTGCGGCAAACTCCTTTGATGCCTTTTCTTCTTCCTTTGCCTTATCCAGGCTTTTCTGTTTAATCTATGTGAGACACATATAAAATTGAAAGCCAGTTAAAGGACTGATACTTACATAGAAAAATTGGCAAAGAAAGAAAGAAACTAAATTACCTCACTGATCCTCTTTGCCACATTTTCCTTATGATTCTTTCCTCTTTCGTGAAATTCAACACTCTTGAAAATTAATAAGAGAAAATGCAAAAGAAAGTTACATCAACATCATAATGTTCATAGTAAAGTAACAGTAAATATGGGAATGGGACATAACAAAATTGAAATTAAAATGACAGAAAAATAATTTTAATGCAAATTGGTCTTTTTATCAAATGATGGGAGGGAACTGAACCATGTTACTTATTATTATATCCTCTGACGAAGTTTCCTTTGGTGCTTAAAATAAACTATGATGACCATATCAATGGAGAAAAATACAAGGTACCCGTGATGACTAATCTAGTGAATATGATCGTAATGAGGACTCAAACAAGACATGAAGCCAAAAGGGGAGTGGAAAAAAAAAAAAAACTTCAAGAAACACCTCTCAACGTAAAATGTCAAAACCATTAAGTCTCTAAAATTTGTACTGCTCTGGAAACACAGAGAATAAACAATAATATTAGAACTTATTCCTCCAAACTGAGAGAAAAGTAGACAGTAAGGAATTCCTCCTAAATTATAAACAAATACTTTTACACACTGTGGTAATGGTATGAAATGTACAACTCCAATGGAGGACAATTTGGCACTATCTACCAAAATTTGGCTGCTGGAATGGAGAACAAAGCTCCCTACGTACTGATGTGGAGAGAGCTCCAGGACATACTGTTCAATTTAAAAAACAAACAAACAAATACCAAACTATGGTGAAGGATAGTGTGTATGGTATCCTACGTTTTACATATGTTGAAATTAAAACCTATGTGTGCATATAGAAACAATGAAGAATGGACAAGAAAATGAAAAAAAAGTGGTAACTTACAAAAAATGATGGTGACTGGATGGGACAAAGGAGTGAGTGAATGTTATCACCTATTTAAAACAGTCAGGAATGCTCCCTAAATTGCAAATGTCTGGTTGTATGCAATAAGAAATTTCTGGTAAACCTTGCAAAATAAATTTTGTCAATCAAATCTTAGCTAAGCTATCCTGAAGTACTACCATGAATTCCTCTTTAAAGTGAGACATTGTAAAACAAAGGTTCACCTTCTATTTTTCATATATCAGGTTTCCTAAATTATGCCACACAAAGAATATTCAAGGCCCATTCAAAAACAAAATAATTTTGTTTCTAATTAAAGGTTAAGCTGATGTATATTAACAATCCAAGGAGAAGAAAGACTATCATAGAAGACATTATTTACTCATCATGACTCCTAAAATTCACTGAACTGACTAGGTACCCCAAAAGAAGAGAAACTATCAGTGATTTGTATAGATTTCAAAATTTGTGGCATTTATGTGTAAGAATGGCCTAAGTTAAACAAGATAGTTGAGAGCTTTAGCAACTATTCAAGAGACCAAAAATCGAAACAAAACCCTGGAGAAAAATATCCCCAAACTCCTGTAGACAGCAGTAAATAAAAGTCTATCAAAGAAGTGTAACATTGTTAAAAATGGGGCCACTGTTCCGTTGTGCATGCAACTCTATCAACTAAAAAGGATAGGAATATATATTTAAAAGATACCCAGGTGTTTATGTACTATGTGTATATTATTATGACATGCAAAGGGGAAAAAATCAGTGATGCTTTTGTTTTATGTCTTAAAAGCTTAATCTAGATTAAGAGATACAGTAATGAGGTGCTTAATAAAGCTGCTATTTTCATATTCCATGAAAGAGGTAATGATGTTCTTTAAAATTTAACCATTTATAGCTACAAAGCTCTGCAAATATATTTAATTATTTCTGGAGTAGAAAAGATGCAAAATAAACTACAATAATGTTCCTTTTTACGTATTAAGGGTTTTGCCCTTTTGTTTCTTTTTATATGGTAGTATTAAACATCATAATGTGGATAAACATGGATGAGATGACCCACCCAACATCCATTTTCTGAATGTGACTGAAGGACCATAGAGAAATAATTTGGCTTAATATATAATCAAATTTAAGCTGATGAAAAGGAAGAAGGCTCACGGCTTTCCTGCAAGAAATGAAAAGACAACAGAAATCTTTCAATGCTTTGAAAAATCAAGAGCAATGTATATGAAGGTGCTTCGTAAATACTGAGTTTAGATCAAAAAGAAACACAGGAATACAATATTATTAAACTCTCTAATAGTGGAAATATCATACAGGCCTATTGTCCGCTATCCAACACTTGCAGTAATCACAGAATTTCTTTGGTTGCGACTTCCAGTAGTCTGCCCTGAAAAAGGGAAAAACAAGTCTGAGCTTATTTATAATTAAAAAGGTAAAATTGTGCATGTTTTTACATCTTCTTAGAGTTTGAAGTATAAGCCCCTGTTACTACTGAATCTTGTCTTGTTACACACATTACCTTTAGCATTTAATTCACTGCAGCAGTTAGCTGAAATTGTTGCCAGTAGAAAAGAAAAAGTCTGCACTGGATTTAAAACTCCCTTTAATAAAATTGCTTTAAAAAAATTTTTTTTCTCATTTGCCACTGCCATCGGTGTGAAGAAATAAGATACATCTTGGAAAAGATTTCACTATGCCTTTCCGGCATTTTGGGAGGTTGCTGTAATGGAGGCCTGAAGAAGCTCAAAGTTTGCTTTAAATCAAGTTATTTCCACCAAAACAACAAAGAACAAAACTCCTTTGGTGGGAGACTGGTTCCTCCGAGACTATCAGTTAATACAATTTGTTCTTGAGCCTCAGGGCAAGAAAGAGTTGGAAAAGCCAACGGACCTCTTAGCCTGCAAGACTTGGGGCGGGGTGGGGAGTCACTACGCTAACCAAGACTGGCCGTTTCTACCAGTCGGAGAAGGCGGCGGTGGCCGGAGTCCAACCCTAAAGTTTCACAATACCCCTGGGTTCACGCGCTACAGAAACGAATAGGGTGCTTGCGACCCCCAGCTATGCAAGTGAGGGAGCACCCGGTCGCTTGGCGGGCAGTTCAACCTCAACTGGCCGCCAGCCTCCCTCCCGAAGCCCGAGTTTCAGGCCTCCAAGGCGCTCCGCAGGATAGCATTTCTAAGCGCCCAGAGAACCGGCCCTGCCGGTCTGGTGCCGGTCCCGAGCGAGTTAAGAGCACCTCCGTCACGCCTCCAGCCGAAGGGAGGTGGGGGGGGGTGGTGGTGGAGGGCGAGACCCGGCGGAGAAAGGGCCGCCCAGAGGAACAACACCTCGTTGTTTAGAGCCTGAGACCCGACTCACATGACTGGACCAGCCGCTCCGCGCGTCGCCCCCGGGTCCGGCTCGAGCTCGTGTTCCCCACGCGGGGCGACTCGGGACCCGGTCCGCCGCGAGGCCCACCCGAGCCTCCAAACCCGAACACCTCCCTCTTTCCCCGGGACCAGGGTTCCACGGTTCGCAACTACGGGTGCCCGGGCGACTCAAACCGCGTTCGAAATCTCCTCCTCTTCCCCTCCCCCTACGGGGCGGTACCCCGGGAGCCTGAGAGGTGGGGTCGGTATAAAGGGGTTGAGGTCACCGAGAAGGGGTGAAAGCGCGACGGGACCTGAGCCGAAGGACAGGAACCTCACGCCTCAAATCCCCGCATCATCCCGCCTTCACTCTCTTTTCCCCTGGGATCCAGAACCTCCACCCTTCTAGGCTCGCTGGCTCGTGGCCGAGGAGCCTGCGCGCCGCCTCCGCCCCGAACGCAAACAGCTGTTCCCCGAGACGTCGCCGCCCTCAACTTTGCCAACCAGTCCGCACGCACTTTGACCAGCGAAGCAACCCGGACCTGTAGGCTGGGGGCCGTTGGCGGAGTTAGAAAAAGAAAAGTGAAACAGCTGGTTTCGGGGCAGCGAGTTGCTGGGCTTTGCCTCAGAACTTTCCGGAGGCGGCGGAGTGGCCCCGCCCCGCCCCCACGCGCACGGGCCGGTCTAGTTCTTTCGCTCGGGGAGCGCGTGGGCAGCGGCGGCGGCGGCGGCGGCTGCGGCGGCTCGAGTGGCGCAGAGGCGGCGGGGGGAGTAGCCGCGCGGGGAAGCGGAGTGGAGGCAGTGGGGGCGCGTGCGCTTGTCAGGTGAGTCACGGCGGCGTCTCTATCAGCACTTCCCATATGGTCTAGCGGTTAGGATTCCTGGTTTTCACCCAGGCGGCCCGGGTTCGACTCCCGGTATGGGAACGTTGTAACTTTTTTTTTTTTTTTTTTTTTTAACCGAATGGGTAAACTCACTTATTTTATTTCCGATATTCTGGCTCTCTTCTTGTCTCGTTCTCGTGATGTTTGTGAAAAACGAGCATTAGTGTAGTCGTTGGTGACTTCGTGACCCGGGCTGCCCCGGGCGGCCGGAGGAGCGAGTACGCTGGGGTCCCTCGCCTCCCTCCTCTGGCTGGGGGGGCTGAGCCGCCGGGGAGTTTCACTTTCCAGGGGCTGCCCTCCCGCCCCGCCCCTCCGCCCCGAGTCGTCCTTTTCCAGACGCTCGGGAGGTGATGATTAACTCTGGCTTCTCTTTATCTTCTCCCAGCGCCCCCCCCCCTGGGGCCCACACCCTCCGCGGCCGCGGTTTTCCGACCGGCCCAAGTGACGCGGGGCGTGTTCACCCCCTGCCCTCGCGCCGGGAGTCCGCACCCCGTTCGGAGTCCTCGTTCTCTTTCCGCCGGCTGTTTACGGGACCCCCCCCTCGCCCCCGGCACAAAGCCGCCTGTCGCGGGGCGCGCGGCGGCGTGGCGGTCTGGCGAGCCTCGGTGCCCTCGGGCGCGCTTTCCCGTCCGCGCCGCTGCCCGTCACCCGCCCGATCGGCCGCGTGTCCACTCGGCTGTCCCGCAGCGGCCGAGCCCGCCGGTCAGCTCGGTCCAACCTGACCTCGGGGGCGCTCGTTTCAGCGCACCAAAGTCCCGCGGACTCCAGAGCCACAGGCTTGAGTGCCACTGCCTGGGGAGGCCTCCGGGGAAGGGAATTGTCCCCGCTCGCCACCCCCCAATCCTCCCGCCCCGCTTTAAAGCGCGCACACAGCCGCGCGCGCACATGCTGCGGAGACGAAAAATACCACTATGATGAGATGTCTTTAAAGAAGAAATTTACTTTGCAAAGGGTCTAACGTTTTGAGCGCCGCGGATAGAAAAATCTTAGGGTGGAGGTGGGGCTTGGAAGAGAGAAAATTGGCTGGAGACTGGGGAGGGGATGTTATAACAAAGTTTCACTGTATTTTTAAATATAGAAGCCCTGTGTTTATTACAAAGAAGGGGCAGCTGTGTCAGCAGCATGTGAGCTGTAAATGAAACAAAAGCGTTATCTTAAACGCAAGCTGAAATTAGAAAATGGGGTGAGCTATAATGTTTAGTCCATTGGGCCTCTGGGAACAAATGGAGACGGAAAAAGTGGCTCTTGTGGGTACGTTTATGGTCAGTGCCATTAATAAGAGCAGAAGATTGGTGGTTAATGTGCGCATTCCCAAACTTTTATATTTTAACTGCACAGTGAGTTTTGAAATAATCTGTTAACGTGATCCGCATGATTAAGGAATAATCATTTTTACGTTGTAAGTAAACTTTCGTAATTAAAAATATTTTATCTCTTCGTTAACTCAGTTTTTACGACAAGCACCATCACACGCTTTTGGAAAGTTCCTGATGTTCAGGTTCGTGTTAGTAGGTTGTGGGTACAATACTAAATGGAATTGTATTTTCGCTCCTCTGATTAGCTTGCGATTCACCTTGTGTGAATCTTCCACCTTCTCTGTACTCTGGGTTTACAGCCGTAAATTCTGGAAAATACATATCGTTTAGAAACTTTAGGTGGAGTTGCGAGAATTGTTGAGCAATTCTTGAATAGTTAATGCAAGTGGAAAAGTTTTATTTATGTGGGGAAAGTTTCATTTGAATGAAGAGCGGGATTGTGTCATTAAGAAACCACTTACTAAAGAATTCAGTCGGAATTTGGAAGGAAGGAAAGACTCCTCTGCCTTGTCTCCGGAGAGGGCTTAACTTTACTTCACCTTGCATTTTGTGATGACCTGGTATCATATTGTGATTGGATGTGATTTTCAACTGAGCACCGAAGAATTGCAGATAGCTTTGCTTTATATATATCTGAAGGTATGCTGAGGGAAGTAGTTTGGTGACAATATTTCTCAGACCCCTATACTGTTGTGGACCAGGGCAAACAGGGTAAGGCAATATCTGAGTTGCAGAAGTGACTGCTGCAGGAACACAGAGGTGAGACATCACTTGTACTCCTGAGAACTGGCAAAGAGAGGTAGAGGGGAGAGAGTTTGCCCTGGACCTTGAAGAACTGGTTGGATTTCTCCTGGTGGGGAATGTGTATCTTAAAGCTGAGGGGAGTGGAGGGTGGGTGGCTGGGTGGGGGGCTAGGAGGGGGAGGTGGGGTCAACAAGTATGAAGCTGGCAAATAGTCTGAACACAGTGCCTAGAGGGAGAGGCATGGGAGATCAAACTGTGATGGTAGAAGAGAATTTCACCTTAATAAAGCTTGACTAGGTAATGGGTTCTTTTATCAAAGGAGTAGCATTTATGTTACTGGAGTTTTAAAAACATTTTCTTCTTTAAAAAAACAAATATGGCAGTAATATGTGAAAACTGTTCTTAAAAAATTCAAGCAATATAGAGACTTGTGCCCATGTTTTGTTTTTGTTTTTTTTTTTTTGTTTGACAGAGAGAGAGACAGCGAGAGAGGGAACACAAGCAGGGGGAGTGGGAGAGGGAGAAGCAGGCTTCCTGCTGAGCAGGGAGCCTGATGCGGGGCTCGATCCCAAGACCCTGGGATCATGACCTGAGCCGAAGGCAGACGCTTAACGCCTGGGCCACCCAGGCGCCCCTGTGCCCATGTTTTATGTTTGCCAGTTGAATATTAATTTTTAATTAGTAGAATGAGAAAAGCAATCAGAATTCAATTCAAAAGAATGAAATCTCGGTTTAAATCATGAGCGTTATATGCAACTGTATTCTTACTGGCGTGCTTTATTGAAAATGATCTTAATATTTTAAGACTGAGCTGCTAGTTACTGTCAGTAAGGCATACACCTTAAATTGGTTAAGGCTCAGTGATAAATTTGTAAGGCTTCATTCATATGCTTGTGTCTTGTTACCAAGAAGGCCATTGGTAGTCATGTTTTAGGTGTCCTCCCTTGGGCCACAGAGTAAAGTGATACTAATTGAATGGTACATATTTACCTAAGTAGTCTCTTTAATATTTGCTAATATTAGGTGCAATCAGAAGATATGTGACCATTTAAGGAATGTTTTCACAGTTGAACACCTATATTAAAGAAATATAAGGGATTAAAAAATGATGGCATTTAAAATCCAAGGACTTTACCGTGGTTGAATATTATCTGCCTCTACCCCCCCCCAACTTCACCTCCTACCTTCTCTGCCTCTTCATTATACATCAGCCACACTGGCTTCCTCTTTGTTCCTTGACCATGCCAGACTTGTTCTTTTCTCACTTTTATTTCTTGGTGTTACCACTGCCTAGAATATTCCCCCTCCAGCTTTTCATATTTCAGGTCAACATTACCTCCTCAGTGAGGTCTTTCTGATCACCCTTTTCTTTTGGTTACTTTACTCTCTTTTGTTTTCTCCTTTTTCTTAATACTTGAGCACATTTTTTTTTCTATTTATTATCTTTTTTCCACTAGAGTATAAGCTCCATGAGGGTAAGGATACTGAATAGTGAAATCATTCTTGCTCTTTAAGATTCAAACAGTAGTGAAGTAGTTGGAACCCTCATGCAATGCTGGTAGACTGTAAAGTGATGTGCAGTCTCTGGAAAACAGGATGGCAGTTCCCTCAAAATGTTAAACATAGAGTTACCATACGACCCGGCCTTTCCATTCAAGAGAAATTAAAACCCGCCTGCACAAAAACTTGTACACGTTTAGAGGAACATTATTCATAAGCAGAAAGTGAAAGTGCAAATATCAACTGAATAATTAAATGAAATGTATCTATACAATCAAATATTATTTGGCAATAAAGGAGAATGAACTGATACATACCACAACATGGATCAGTTTCAAGATTGTTAGGCTAAGCAGAAGAAGCCAGCTCAAAAGACCACATTTTATATGATTCCATTTATATGAACTGTCCATAATAGGCAATTCTATAAGAGAAAGAGGATAGATAGATGATGGTTGCCTAGGATTGGGAGGTGAGTGGGCAGTGGTTACGGGCTCGGAGTGACTGCTAATGGAGATAGAGGTTACTTTTTAGAGTGATTGTCCTAAAATAATCTAATAATGATAACGGTTGCACAACTCAGTAAATAACCTAAACACTGAATTCTACTCTTTGAATGGGTAAACTATGATATGTAGATTATATCAACAAAACTTAAAAAGAAAAGATTGAAGTAGTAAAAAGCATATATAATATTTTGTCTTTACATTTTATATTTATCATTTGGATAGTAAGCATTTAGAAACATTAGTGGAATAATTTAACACTGCGGTTCTAGCTCCTAGATAGTCCAGGAATGGAGCAAGTGTTCAGTAAATAGCTGATGAAGGAGGTTAACCTATACAGATAATTATGATACAACGTATAGTGTGATAAATGCTCAGAGAGAACTAAGCCAAGAGTTATATGGGTTTGAAGGCCTCCAGAATATCACATCTGGATTCATGTGAAGTGAATGGGGAAAGGCCTCCTGTAGGAGGGCTTTCAGATGGGCTTTGAGGTCTGGCTAGGCTTTTGCTGGTGGAGATGATGTGGTGGAAAGCCAGGCATTAAGAAGGAAGCCTGCAGGAGCAGCGGCACATTAACAGTTGCTAGCACATTTTGGCCGAACTGAGGGTGTAAGTAGGATAGGAATTGGAAAGAAGGCTGCAAAAATAGATTAGGGCCTGCAGCAGACAGTGTCCGTGCCGTCAGATCTCTGGTGTCTTTATCATCCCCCCAACCCCTAGTATGCTTCCAGGGGCGCTTCTCTACTTGCAGAGCGCTGAAGTGCTTGGGGGTTTATCCCCTCACCCCTAACGAGACTCCAATTCAGACTGTCCAGTCAAGAGAATAACTTCCAAGCAGGGACTTTGACTTGTTCCTTTCTGTACCATCAGC